CCACTGCATCCACTCCAGTGACTTGGCTTCGTTGGGCAAGGCTTGTCACTGGAGCCCTTGCCCCCCTGCACTGCTGGAATTCCCGTGGTATTTTGGTTTGCCCACACACACACACACACACACACACATGGGGAATCGGGGGCTTACGCAAGGAGTATTCACCGCAGTTCGCATTGCGCTCGCGGCTTGCACGCAAAAGCAGACGCCAGAGTGGGCAGTCGGGCCAGTAATGGACTGGTTCCTCTCAACCTTCGAAAGGTATGTCTTCGTTGAGCTCTATGCGATTCCCATCCGCCTCGCCAAAGTGTTGGGCTTTAACAAGGCCACTGCAGTTGCACTTGACAGCGCTGGGGCCAGTTGAGTCGTCTTCATGTCACTTCACGTGGTTGCACTCGACAGTGCCGGACAATGCTATGCCACTCCACGTCGACACGTCACAGTGCACTTCAGGGAAAGATGGGTCCTGCACCACAGCTAGCATGAAATCTGAAACCGGGAGGCGGAAGTATGAAGTACTCGTAGTTGTTTCCAAGCAACTTGCGGCTGATAGGCCGGAACCCGATCGTTTGTCTGCTTTGTCGCATCCGTCAGTCGAAAGGGCTGTGCCCGAGTTGCGTGTTTCAGCTTCACGCTTTGCACTCGTACATTTGGCAGGTTCAAGCCTTCTACTGCCTTCGAGGGTCCTGTGGACTTGCAAGCGCCTTTTGCGACTTCCATCAGCAAGAGAAAGTCAGTAAGGATGGCGACCATTACTGCATGATGTGGTGCCATTCGCAGTTTTGCTTGTCTTTGGTGCAGACACAACTGAGATCAGGAAGCCAGCTTCTGCGATGCAGTTCAATGCTCCTGCGGCACAAGGGTGGTCTTCTTTGCATGAGACATTCTCACGTCAGTGCAAATGCATCTTCCGGGCATCCGCTGTTTCTTGCATCTCCAGTGCATAGGTGGCAATCCTGACCTTGTGCTTTCTGGCTGGGGCAAGTGGCATGCTCAGAAGCACGCTTAGAAATGTAGTTTGCCGTTTGCTCGATGTGGTCAGGTGGGGTGCGTGAGACGTGAAAACGTTGAACACTTCGATAATGTCTCAGGCGGAATGTTCCACTCCTCTGTCGCCGTGTTGCCCTCTACCACGTGCATGCATCTTGGCTACAGGTCGGTTTGCTCACTAATCATGAACCTCTTGCCCGTTCTGATCCGCATACTACAATCGCCCCTAATAGCAAGCCATGGCAAGCCCTGAGAGAAGGAATCACTGCCAATCCTGAGCATGCTGCGCATGCCCTCACGTAAAGCCGTGTTTAAGCCAATGTAATCCCCACGCACACCCGAAAGATAACCTACATGCCGCTGATTGACAAGGCCCAAGATCTGTCCACAAGGTTCTACAGATCCAGATTAAACTTCCTAACTCTTCGGTCGTGGCCTCATCCAGATCAGCCTTCAGTCTTCGGGGCGTTTTAGATCAAACTCACAAAAGTGCATGTACCGGAGGACCACGGGGTCATTCAGCCAGAGTTCGCATAGTTCGAGTTTTTTGGCCACCGGCATTGGGGTTGCGTTCCGCGTCAAGCCTCTTCAGCACAATGCGAGCGTGAAATCTCTTCCCATTCCCCGTGGTGCATGCGGGTTGTTCGAAGGTATGCTGTACTTCTCGGTTTTGCAGCATGGCTGCGCCGGCACTATGCAGTGGGACTTGGATGTGGGCGCCGCAGCTCAAGTGGTTTGCGACGTTTGTTTCCTGAGTTTTTCTTGACCTGAGAGTCATTGATGAAACGTGAGACTGTCATGACTGTCGTGGCCGAGGTCGTTTGCAGTCCTTTTGGGGATGGCTGTAGCTGCACCGTGCCATGCCCAGTTCTGGAGCGAATGTTGTGGTGCGGTTCTTTGGTGACATCAGCAGAACCTCGCGCCTCGTGGCTGAGGATGTTTGTGCCGATGGGTCTGGCCGCACTTGCCCCACAGAATTTGGGCTTCCTTCGACGATTGGCTGCATTTCTTGCTGGGTATTTGGACTAGTGACCAGCCCATAGGGCCATAGGATTCCATAGGCTTCCCGACTGTCCATGCGTCAGCGTCAACTCGTTTGCAGGCGTAATCGGCATCGCCATGCTGGCACTCCTGGCCTTCGCGGTGGTTCCTTCACTTTTGGACTGGAGTTCCTTTGCAGCACGTGAATTGAAGATGGGAGAAGGCACGCCAGTTTTGATCGAGAGGCATGGCATGATGCACCCCTCAAGAGTAACGAGCAGAGCATGGAATGGACTCCACACGAGGATACTATGGCTCGCGCTGGCCTGTTTGGACGAAGCTGTGCTTCATTCGTTGCTGCTGAGTTGGGTACAGTTGTAGTTGATGCTTGTCAGCGGCATCGGCAGGGCGGGATCATTTGCTCATGGCAGCTGAATTTTGTGTTGATGCCCTCTCTCTCTCTCTTGCGCTCTTTCTCTTTCTCTCTCTATAAATCGGTGTATCTTTCTCTCTTCCCCTCTCTCTCTCTCTGTCTCTCTCCCCCTCTCTCTCCATCCTTGCCTGAGAATTTCTGCGCTTGTGTGAAATTGAGTTTGTGTGCGCGGGTCGAAGGATGGGCAACCATCTGCTGTACAACTTTGGGGTCGGTGGTGGAGGTGTGGGCGCAGATCTTTATGGAACGGAGCCGTGGACTTTCTATGCCAAGCCACTTGCATGCAGGAATATGGAATATGATGCAATCCCCGTTTACCAATTTCAACTTGCACTCTGGCTCCTTGCGAAGTTTTGCTCGCATCAGGAACCTTTTGCTGAACTTTAACCTGGTCGCGCTGTTGGCAATGCCGGCCATTCTGTGTTCGCTCCGGCAGCGCCAGCTGACACTCCTGCTGATTCCGATGTATGTGACTTTGGTATCCCGGCTTCGTGAGTGAGTGAACGGCCGAGCTCGGGGATTGCCATGTATAGCTGATCCACATCACCACCAGGACCATTAACAGCGTTTGCTGTTCACAGACCGTCTCCTTGGCTGCCTTTTCTGTGATCTTCACAAAGAGGCGATGTTCACGAAGATGGCGCACAAAGAGGAACGTTCAGCCCTCAGGCGTCTACCTTCGCCCTCATGAGGTCCGGTCAGCCTTGTGTATGTCCGAGGTTTTCTTACAATGGTATATCCCTTGATTTGCCTGTCCGCAGAGCCCCAGCTGACAATGCAAAGCCGAAAGGCTTCTTTCAGAATGTTGGCCTTTTTTCCCCTTTGACTTTCAGTGCGAGCAGCTGGCGACAAAGGCCACCACGCTGGATACTTTGCTCTGCGGTGCAGAAAAACTAGCGGCTGGGCGTCGGGGGTAGTGAAATCTGGCTTTTCGCGTGCCGCTGAAGTTGTAAGCTTGATGCGGCTGAAGTCCTCATTATGTGAAGCCCATTATCGTTATCTAAGGTGGGTCTATGCCTGCGAGAATCAGACTCAGCCCCGAAGACACAGACATGGAAGGCGAGCAAGGCTGGCAAGCAAAGAAAGAAGCACAGGAGAGCAGACTGGAGAGCAGTTGGGTTTACTATACAGTAGAAGTAGAAGCCCAAAAGTTGGAAACCCAGTAGCCTCAATCCTGAAGAGTCACGTAAAGGGAATCCCAGCACTAATTGTCCTTAATCCGGTTTCCAACTTTTTTTGGGTGTACTACAGGGCGTAAGATCGTGAAGATCATGCACCCTTAGCCTTGCGCATCTCGCCACGAGTGCGATGCTCCGGGGAAGCTGGAGGCTAGCTTCAATATAATATAGCAGTATATGGTATCATCTTGCTGCATTATGTTGGATTATATATACAAGTTAAGAAGTGCTCTCCAAGCGCAGCTGCTTAACTTGAGAAACGTTCCGACTCAAGATTCGCACTTGGCCTGTGAGGTGGTGTCAACATCCTTGGCTGCAGCGTTTGTGGTGGTCTTTGCCATCATATCTTGTTCAAGAAGTGCTGCCCTGCACTTCCACTTCAGAGCGCCACTACAACTCTATGCGGCCCGACTTTTCAAAAGGACCCCTTTACCAGTAGTGTTAATTTACGATTAATGTTTTTACTATATTGCTGTTTTTGTTTGCACTATTCTTACTGTTATTAGTATTCGTATAAGTACTACTATAATTATTATGAGTGTTGTTGTTTTTGTCGTTGTTGATGAAGGGCTTGTGCTTGGGGTCCTCGGCCCGAACACTCCTGCAAAGGCGGTTTCGGAAAATAGGTTGTGAAGCTACCCATAGGCCCCATAGTAGTTCCTTTGGGGATTACCTAATAGGATCCTAAATATAAGCCACAAAAAAGAACTACTATGGGGGCCTCTGGGTAGGCCAGAAGCTCCAGGGTTTGCGCCCCAAAACGAACACATATTTCCGTCTTGCACCACCGGGCAGCACTACCCGACCGGCATCATTCCTGGGTTCCGTAGTTGCACTTTCCTCAACGAAGATGCACCATTCTACAGCGATTCAGACTTCTGTGCCGGGTCCAGTAACGTAGTCCAGGGTTCAGGCCTCAGGTTTTGTGCGGTTCCCGCGGCCTGCCGTGAGCCTTTCGGCAAACTCAAGATTCCGCAGCTTTGCGAGGATGGAGAGTGCTGCCAGTCATGCTGCAGCGTGAGTTGAATCTCCCCGTTTTCGCATTTTCGCAGCGCAAGTGCATTTTGGACCCCTGCTGCCCAAACCGGTGATTGTCTGCCTCACCTCAACATCTTCAACCCAGGAGAAGATTTACTACCAGGGAGCTGCTGGTTTATCTTCAGCCAGCTACAGAGGTGGCGTCTGCGTGGGTAAGGACAGACGCTTTCGGGATTTGGACCTTGCTGATTGCAGTAGTCCACTAGGCTGCCGTTCCGAGACGGCAAGCAGCTCAACATGCAAATGACACAAACCACCTGTTCTGCGCTTGCGGTGTCGTCAGTGTAGATGTAGATGAACCCACGAAAGCGCTTGGCGACGACGTCCAGTAGCTCACTCGACTCGCTAGACCGCTAGACCACTCGCTATCCGGATCATGGCGGAGCTCCGGAGGTTCATGGGTAGTTATAAATGAGGTTATAAGTAGGGTAACTATAATTTTAACGCTACGCCGCCCGCCTCGGCTACTGAGGGCCAGAAGCACGGAAAGCTGCGGCTTTCCATGAGTACTCTACTGGGGGGGG